TTTTTTTTTTTTTTTTTTTTTTTTTGTTTAAAAATTCATCTACTTCACATTATACACACACAAAACAATTAAGGCCTATATCATGCACCTTATAATTAATTGAATTTGAAAGCTGAGTAGGAGTTTCCACCATGTGTGTGTTCCATTTATTTATGGACACATCGTTGGGGGCATAAACGGGGGAACACGATTGACAAAAAAAAAAAAAAAAAAAAAGTGATTGGGAGAAGGCAAACTTTACAACGAATTTGTTGTACGGTCACATGAATAGCCAAATGCATGTCGTCTTTCCTCAAGTGACAAAAAACATAAAAGGAAAAAGAAATACGCAATAAACTCGCGGTGGTCCAAATTGTGTCGAGCCTTGGTGGCCTCTTAAAAAGGCAAATATTTATCTTCCGTTATGAGAGCTAGCCAAACTGCGCGAAAAAAAAAAAAAAAAATTAACACATGTGTGCAACGGGAGGGAAGATGAACTCCCCACCAAGGGGCACACAAGAGGTTTTTTCCTCTTCGCTTCTAACAACTACAAACGTACCGTGCGAGTAGTACACCGAATTGATATTCCTGATGAGCGCCAGGAAGGGAAACTCCCGCCCCTGGGTGTTTATCCTGATTTGGTCCGACGCAACTGCAAGGGGGAAGGGAGCGGAGGTGTGCATTAGGCAGTGTAGGGGGTGAATACATTTGGTGGAATACACTCGGGGGCATACACATAGGGGTCCACCCCTCAAATATGCTTGCACACTGGGGGCCACTCAATCCTTACGCATGCGCAGGACAAATGCATGATTGAGCAAATTCTCCAGGAGGAAGAAAAAGGAAATGTGCGCAATTCCGCATCCGCGGCCCTTCGAGAGGACGTGTCCACCACTGGACACGTAGCCAATTATCTTCCTGGAGGCCAAAATTATTTCATCGCCTTTGAGTTTTTCGCCACGGTTGGCGTCTGATTCCTCTGCTAAGTGATATATCTGTGGGTTTGTTTTTGCTGACCCAGGGGGTGCATTCTTCTTCATGACTTTGCTTTTGTATCTTCGGCTAATTGGCTCCTTGATCTTCTCTACCTTGTTGCTGTGCCTGCCCCTGTTGGCCGTTTTCCGGTGCAGCAACCATTCGGTCATTTTGTTCGTGTCCCCGTGTTCTACGAGGGGGTGGCAAAAAAACAAAAAAACAACAAATAATAATAATAAAGTATAAAAAAAAACACAAAAAAAAGTGATTAATATGCGTGCCACATTATGCTGTGCCAGACTAACTATCTCCCCCATGTAGACGCTACCCAAGTGGGCACTTCACATGTGGTGTTTGTTTTCCCCCCTGCGTGAAACTTACTCATGAAAAACTTTGCCAACTGCTCCATCGTGAGGGAACAAACATGCGAGAGGCGCTCTGGTGTGCCCTCCCTGTACGCATGAACATATACAGAAATGAAGTAGGTTGAAAAGACGGCAAATTTCTCTTTAAACTCATCCATGAAGTTATAAAAACCGTCTAGGGTATCCAGGACACATAACCGTTTTAACGAAATGGACAAAAAGCGATGCAGGAAGGTCTTCAACAAAAACTGATTATACGAGTCCGTGGCTCTTATAATCTTTATATGGCTTCTGTATGGGAAAATGCACAGCCAAGAATAATTAAAGGGGCTGTTTATGCCGAGGCAATAATAATTAATTCTCTTCCTTAGTGGCTTTTTAAAATATTTATTTTTGGCTAGCTGTTCTCTGAAATTATTATATAAAATTCCACCATGTGAATCAGGGAAATCTTTTGGATAGCACATAAAGTCTGAACACTTGAGTATTTTTTCTCTTTCCTTTAATCCGATGGCTATGGACCCATTACGTACCAGCAGCTGGAACAGCACTGAACTTTTTTTCTTTGCTGGGCACAGAATAAAGTACCTCTGATTATTGTTGCACGTTTGGTTGATCAGCAGGATGGGAATTTTAATGTACTTTTTACAATTTTGCGAGATGGTAAGTTTGTTTTTTTTCAGTTCTGCATAAATTGCTCTTGTGTCCTCCTCGCCTTTCGCTTCTTTTGTTTGTTCTCCTTTTTTTTTTTTTTCGTTTTCCGATTTGTGTAGGAAATGTTCTATGTAGCTTTGTATTGCGTTTTCGTCGTGCGTGTGTGTTGGATTGGGGCGCTGTCCAGGTGGTGGCTGCGTCTGCGTCTGCGTCTGTGGTGGTTGCCAGGGCCTTTTCTTCCTTCTGCTCGGCTGGGGGGTGCAGGCGTCCCCGTCCAATCTGTACAAATCCCCCAGAGCAACGCCCGACCTTCGCTTCTCCCGAAGGACATCATAACTCTCAATGTTCTTATTATTTCGGAGCATTTTCAATATACATGTCTTCACCTTTTTCTTTTTTTGGCTACGGACATGCTCATATTTATTAACCTTTATATGTTTTATCACGTCCTGCTTGATTCTCTCATTCATGAGGATGTTATTGTCGTATGGGCTGAAGCTACTTGCTTTTAATATTGGGTTTCCATTTTTTGTTCTTAAATAGTCCAGCGCGTTTGCGGCCAGGTCGATGTCGTTATCGTTGTCCATTGGACTTGGTCTTTGAATGGGGGGCTCGCCGTTCTTGTCATTTGGGGCGTCCCCGGTCTCATTGGCATCCTCTCCCTTCCCGTCTCCGGTTTGCCCATCGCCCCATTTCTGCGCTGCGCAATCACTAACCTTATAGTTGAGCAAAAACGGGCCGATCGTCTTTGGAAGAAGGGCATACAGAGGAATGACAAAGTCGTAGGGCAGCGTCACATTCTCATAGTCGAAGCGGTAAAGGTCTCCCTCATCCCGCACAGTGTACTTGCTTTTTATTTTTAAAATATTCAAAAGTAAGGGGAGGCTCTTTGGCCCAATTAACTCGTACATGCAAATATCTTTCACGTGTTTTATTTTGACTGTTCCGTTTATGTTTTGAAGAATCTGCATAACCTGTTGCAAGCACAGGGGGTGCACGAATATCCATAGGTCTCTTTCGAGATCCTCTTGTTTGTTGTTTCCATTCTGTTCGTCTTCCCCGTGAGTTTCACTTTTCTCCTGGCCGTTGCACACGTAGTTTAATTTAATTTTTTTTTTTTTTTTTTTTTTTTTTTTTTCAAGTACATGGGCAATTTCTTCATATGAGCGCGCCATAGGAAGTGGGCAGGACAAATGAGTCCATTTTTCGCGTTAAAAAAGTTGTCTCCCCTCCCTGCATGGTCATCACCCTC